GGTCTCAGAGCCGCCCATGGAGCACAGGGCAGCCCGGGGCTCCTCACACCGCTGCGACACGGGCTGAGAACGGAACGAGAACCGCAGGCGGGGGGAGAGCGGCCTGCCAGCCGCGAAAAGGGATTCTCGCTCTGGAAGAGGCGCAAACGGCGGAGCTCTCGGGCCGGGCTGCCTCCGCCCGCACAGACAGAGCTCAGGGCACGGGCGGGAGCCCTTTCTCCCGGCTCCCATCAAACGCCGCCCAGCAGCCCGAGCCCGGCACGGCGCAGCGGAGCTCCCGCATCCCTCCATAGAGGGCGAACCTCGCTGCGGCCTCAAGGTCAGGGCGGGAGCGGACAGCGCGGGGCCGCGGCTCCCAGCGCCCCATTGTATCGCCGGAGCCACAGGGACGGCCAGGCCCAGCGCCGCCGGGTCCCTTCAGAGACGGGCGGACATCCCCGCCCAGGCCGGGCACGCGCCCCCTGCCACCGCGCCCCGGGAGATCCCAGCACCCCCCAGGAAGAAGCCCGGGGCAGCCCAGCCCGCCGCGCGGAGCTCTACCCGCCACCACTCACCTGCGCCCGCTCCGCGCTGCCGCTCCCCGACGGCCGCCGCCTTTTGTTCGCTGTGGCGCGGCACTGCCTCCCCGGCCCATCGGCCTACGGGCGCCGCCGCCGCCCATTGGCTGCCGCCGCCGTCACGTGCGCGTTGCCTGAGCGGCGCCCGCGCTCCTATTGGTCTCCGCCGGTGGGGCGCGCCCGCGCGGCCTTGTGGGAGTCGTAGTTCCGCCCCTCCGCCCGCCCCCGCCTCCCCAGCCTCCCCCCCTGCTTTCGTCCCCCCCGCTCTCCGCCTCCAGCACCGCCAGCTCGCTTCCCCGCCCGGTTCGTCCTGCCTCTGCTGCTTCCCACTAGCACTCAGCTCCCGGCAGCTTTTTTCCTACAGACCCTCTCAAGCTCTTTCCCTACAGCAGAGGGTTTGTCGGACCGCCGCCTCCCTGGGACGTGCCGGGCCGTTGTGTCACTGCCCACCCCTGGCCCCGTCCCGCAGCGCCCCGGGAGCGAGGCGCAGAAGCAGCGGCTTTCATCCTCCCGAGATGAATCCGGGCTGCGCTGAGCGCATCGCACGAAGCCGCGCCCGCTCTGAGTCATTTCGCTGGAACAAATTGCTCCAAACATTCATCTTGTCACGGCATCATCCGAGGCCAAAATAAAGTCGAGACGAAGGCTGCTGATGGGAGAACCAGAACATTCTCTCGTTCGTCAGCGCCGCTGCCCAGAAGGACTGGATGATGCATTGTGCCGCGAGCTCACAGCGCGATGCTGACCGCTGTCAGAGGGACCCCGCAGAGCTGCAGAGCGCTCTGATTAAACTCTGCACTCCAGTCTCTTTATGGCCACGCAGCTGTTTGCAAACAGCCTAAGCACCAAACCCGAGCCGGCAGCCGATCCCCGCAGGTCGAACAGGTTGGGTCAGTGAGGACAAAGCGGAACAAGGAACAACGAGCGGCGGGGATCGGCTGCACGAGTCGTACGAGCAACGCGCTTCCTGCCTTTCGAAGCGGACGCTCGCGCACGCTCACATCGCCCAGGGCCGACGGTTTTTTCCTGCCGGGACCTCGCCGAGCTGCGCGGCGCGGCACGCCTCGGTGACGTCACGACGTGGGCGGGGACTTCGCGCGGCGCCGGAAGTGACGCCGTTGCCCAGCAGCCGTTGCTAAGCGACGACTCAGGCCGCCATGGCGGAGGGCCCTGCGCCGACTGGCACCTTCCCGGGCTTCATGAGCCAGGGCGCGCTGCTGTACCGGCGGGGCGAGTACGGCAAGGCCTTGGCCTGCTTCAACAACGTGAGGGCCCGGGTGGGGGTCGCGGCCTGGGGGGAGGCGAAACCGGGGGTTCGGCCTCATCCGCCACCGCGATCCGCGGCCGCTCTGCGTTCCCGGCCCTGCGCTGCACGTCGCGCTCTTCCTTGCAGGCGCTGCAGCTCAGAGCCGCGGACAAGCACGGCCTCGTGGCCCGCTCGCGGTGTTACCTGAAGCTCGGAGATGTGCAGAATTCCCTGAAGGACGCCGAAGCGTCTCTCCAGAATGACAAAACGTTCTCGGAGGTAAATGGCGCAGAGCTGCAGGGCGGCGGTGCCCAGGACAGCTCTGCTGCCTGTGGGGGCGGCGGTCCTTGCAGAGCCCTCAAGGGAGGGATGTGCTGTGATATCGGCTGACGCCAAATCGCAGCGTGCTGAGCTCCTCTGCGGTGCATCCAGAGAGCTGGAAGTGCTCAGCCGATGAGGAAGGACCCAGGATTGGATTTTATTGTATGCAAACTTGGCCGTATGAGTAGGGCTTTCACTTCTGCCCAGGAGAGGATTGTTTGGAGGTTCTGAAGCATAGTTTGTTGGCTTTTTCCCCTTCAAATGTCTTTTCAGGGCCTTTACCAAAAAGCTGAGACGTTATATACCATGGGTGACTTTGAATTTGCTCTGGTGTTTTATCACCGGGGCAGTGAACTGCGCCCGGAGCTGCAGAAGTTCAGGCTGGGCATCCAGAAATCCCACGAGGCGATCATCAACTGCATTGGAAGTAAGAAGTTCCCCTTCATGGTGCCTGCAGGCACAGCTGAGGCTGTTCATGGTGTTCTGTCATCAGCTGCTGATAGCTGATGGGTGTTAATATTCCTAAGGACCAAGTAACAGCAGAGTTCCTTTTGCTTCTGGATTCATGAGCTCTATAGCCATTCTTATTTGAAACCAAGAAGCGCAGAAAAGACCACATCCCCACCGTCTAATAGCTGTCTAATAGCTAATGATTATGGGAGTGAATTATGACCCTGGCACTTACATTTCTAAAGTCACCATAAAAATGTTCTAAATAATACAGAATAGCAGTACACCTACTTATGGCCTTACTGATTACAGAATCTGTTTTGAGATCTTTATCCTGGTGTTAAAAAGTTTGTAGTGAAATCTGCCCACCTGACACTGGCCTTCCTGAGATTCTGATTTTCCTCCAGTTTACATTGCATCAGAGCAGTGAAACTGTTGCAATGGAGCGCTGCTTTCATAAGCTCTGGCGTAAATCAGAGAACTGCAAGGGACAGGAAAGGCCAAGGACCTGATGACGTTCAAAACCAGTGGAAAACTTTTCCCTTACTTTTTCTCCTAGCAGTGCTCTCACATGCAGGCAAGCTTAGTCAACACCTGCACCCGCTCCAGGCTCACACACACGCTCAACTGGGGCTGGCTCTGTGGCTGAGTGGCTTATCACGTGCAAAGAGAACCTGTGCACAGCTTGCAAGGCTGCTGCAAAACCTGCTGGGACAGTCAGAAACTGCTCAGGTGGATCCTCCAGCAGCCTGTCCTGTCACGGAGCCAGGGCACACCCTGCCTGCCTGCCCCACATACCTCGATCCCACAGATAACACAGCTACCTCGCCTTGAGATCGCTTTTGGAATTGCAGCCCACCTCCAGTACTGCAGATTGGCTTCACGTCCCAGCTGTGTGAAGGCCTGCAGCTCCTCCATGTGCAACACTCATTTAAAATGGCAGACAGAGCAGTTTTCCAGACCTGTTTTGTTTTTCTCTTACTGCTGCTTTCTTAGTTGGTGCAAACACCAGGACAGCACAGCCCTCAGTGGAAACTCATCTGCTTGACGTGCTGAGCTGAATGCTTTAAATGCCTTCAAGCACCTGGGCTGTATGCAAACGAACAGAATAAAAACCATGAGGTGTTTAAGCATTTGGCAGCTCCTCGATGCAGGGGAAATGAAGCAAGGAAATAGATGAGCATTAGTTCTAGCTGCTTGCTGCGTGCAGATACATTAACAGGGCACATCCCAGCTTTACTGAGCCCGCGTGGCAGACCAGTGCTGTCAGCTCACTGCTCTCGGCCCGCTCACCTCACCGGAGGAAATTCTTCCACGAGGACACTTGAAGCTGCTTCCTCCCTTCTGACCAGGCCCAAACAAAGAGCTGTTTTTCACCCTTGCTTTCACTGCAAGAGCTGTGCTCTGAATAGCAGAAGTGAAAATAAAACGGGGGTTTGTGTCAGGGCACAAAGACCTTAAAGTAGTTCTCTGGGTTGCTGCAGATGACCGCGCTTATGAGCTTTCCTTCCATTTTAAGACTCTGCATGTGGGATACAGCACATCTCTGTAGGAAACCTGCCAGTGGTGGTGCCATGCAAACATAACAATCACAATTCAAGAGCTGCATCTGTGAGCTGTAATTCCTGCTTAAAGAACTTACCCATATCCACATATTTCATACAAAATAACTACTAGAAGTCCCGATTTGTAACAGGACATTTTCAGCTTAGCACGTTTTCAGCAGTTTTAAATTCTCAAGCTTTTCTAATGCCGTGTTTTCTCTGCACTTGCAGGTCCATCCTCAGTGAAACTGAAGAACAAAGAGGACCTCTGCTTTATAAGCCGGCAGGCAGAGGTGCGGTGTGAAGAGCTCTTAGAAGCTAATTGGAGTTGTTTTAACACTGTTACATTCCCAAACATAACAGCGCAGGGAGGATCAGTGGTTTCTGCAGCAGTGTGCTGGGGTCGTGGCTGCTCCAGGGCAGCGCATCCTGAGCACAGGACCCAAACAAACCCAGTAGGAGGATTCCAGTGTACCTGCCTTTAGTGCAGCTGTGGCTGAAGCCACACAAAGTAGAAAGGAGAAGGCAGAAGGGCAGGGAAGAGCAACGGATGGGAGACAAAGCCTCCCTGAAAGTCCTCCCCCAGCCTGACCGGTTCCTGCTGCTGCTGCTGACCCCCATTGAAGGCTAATGAGTAACAGCTCTGCAGTCAGGGCCAGGCAGCCTTACCTGCAGTGTTTGCTTTGCTGTTTGAGGTTCACGTTTCTGATAATGGACACTTTCTCAGCTGCTTTATTTTGGGGTGCTCCACTGCTCTGTTGCTCTGAGATGCTGCACCACGTTTCCCCCTGAAGGCAGGGCAGTGAATGCTCATTGCTTTCTTTCAGCTGGAATTATGGGTAGCTTGCAGTGAGAATAATTTGCACGCAGAAGCCTAAAAGCTCTTTGTGAGACAGGGACTTGCTTTTATTTAAGGGAACTTGGCCTACACAGAGGGTCAGCAGTTCTGGAAGCCAGGCCTCACCGATAATCCCAGGTTCTCCAGCAATCCCGCCTCACTTACTCTATTTTTTTCTTGCTGTAGAGCAAAAAAGCAGATCAGAAACTCCAAATCAAACTGACCAAGGACCAAAAGTGCACAAAGAAACAGGAACCTGCAAGGAATCAGAAAACAGAGCGGCAGCTTCTTGGAGAGCTCTATGCTGACAAGGCCTACCTAGAAAAGCTGCTGAAGGATGAAGGTTTTCTCCATTGTTTTCAGATAAATGTTCCTTCTAAGCAGGATCTTCTTTCCTTCTCTCATATTCTTATTATTATATTCTTTATATTCTTATATTCTGCTCGTGTTTGTCTCACAGCTCACGTAGGGCTGGCAGTGTCAGAGAGATGCAGATGTCTGCAGAGTTCAGGTGTCTTTGGAGCCAAATCCAATATTCAGAGCTGCCTCTGAATGTTTCCTCCTTTCAATCACAGCCATCTGTGTTGAGGAAGTCAGCATTATAAATCACTCCATTCCTGACATGATGTTGATTCCACTAACATCTGCATTAAGAGCAAAGCATTGCTGGTGGCACTTCCTCACCTGTGGCTTTGTTAAACGCACTGTTAGGAACAAGATACAGGATTCACAAAGGACCTTATTTTAGAAATAGGCAGAAAGGTGATTTCCATTTAATCTTTTTTTTTCCTCCTTCTAGGAAACCATTTACTTGGTAACAGAGCAGTAATTAAGAATTTAGTCTAATCATAAGTTTTGTGCTATTGCCAGCATTAGTATAGTAATACATGAGCCATCTAGTTTCCAGGCATGTAATGCTCCTCTCCATCTCCCCACTGTTTTCAGTGCCATCTGAGTGCAGGTGTCCCATCCATGTGCTCTGCCCAGGACAGGCACACGCCACAGCCAGCCCCAAACACAGCAGTTTTTGCTCCCAAGGAGAATTTCTGGAACTCCCCTCCCAGTCAAACCCGCTCTGAGGAGCACTGGAGCCTGAATTTCCAGCTCTCTCTGTCAGAGCAGGACGTTCACAAGCCCAGTGACCTGAGGCTTCACCCGCTGTGTACACTGCACTCTCCTCTTCTGCCCCCCTATTTTCAGATTTGATGAGGAGCGTCACAAAGCAGGGCGTCAAAGTGGAGGACGTGGTGCTGGGTGGCATCGCCTACCTGGACGCGCGCGCCGAGTTCTGGCAGCAGCAGAAGCCCATCTACGCCCGTGTGAGGGAGCGCAGGCTCAGGCAGCAGAAGTGGATCCGGGAGAAGAAACCCAAACCAGCCGAGGTGGCCAGATTCATTGTGCAGAGCATGGAGGACATCGACATGTGTGCGTGTCCTGGCTGGGAACAGTAAGAAAGCGATGAGTGGCGCTTGTGGCCACTTGCTGTAGCAAATACAGACCAGAGCTGCGGTGCGACACAAGCATTGTCACACAGCAGCAGGGAGTTCCTGCAGGCTGAATGAAGGGTTGCAGGATGTGCCTGCGGAGCGAGGAGCTGAAGCCCTTCCCAGGCTGCCTGTGAGGCTGACAAAACTGCTGGCCTTCCCTCCCCGTGTCGCTGCGTCTGCACAGCTGCACTCTGCTCCTCTCTGTCCTCAGTGCTGACTGGAGACTGCCCCAAAGAGAGCTGCAGGAAAGCTGAGCGTGTGCTGAAAACGATACAAGGATGGTCAGAGGATGAAGTTCCCAACAAGAAGGAGCTGATTGGGAACCTCCACAGCTGCATTGGGAATGCTCAGTTTGAGATGGGGCGGATGGAGGCAGCCCTGAAAAGCCACAAAATGGATCTGGAGTTTGCCAGGCAGAAGTAAGTGCTGAGAAATTCTGATGGGGGAGGAAAGTTGCTCTGTTTTTAGCATCAGGTAGCGTAAATCTCATCTGAAGATGTAGCAGGGCAGCGCATTTGGGCTCTGCCCACACGCAGGGGTCTTCACCATTTCAAAAACAAATGACTTAAGCAGATTTTTAAAGGCTCCAGCACACGTGGCGTGCCAAAATGCGTGTTGAAGCAAAGCAAAAGAGTGCACAAATCCCAGGCTCAGCACTGCAGCCCCATTGTGCGCTTCCTCCTCGGGAAGGTCAGACCCGGGGCAGCAGCGGGCAGCAATGAGACGCGTGGTGCTGCTTTTTCAAGCCCGTTGAAGGCTGCCCTTGTAGGACCGGAGCGCAGCCGTTGCCGAGCAGCATTCGCCCTCTGGTGGCTGTTAAGGAGCGGCAGAGCAAACAGAGCCGCGCTGCTGCTCTGCTCTCATCAGCTTTTTCACTTGTACGACACAGATGATCACGGCAAACCGGTTCCAAAGCTGGGAGTGAGGACATTTACTTTGGTTTGATGACTCCCAGCCTGGCACTGGTCCTTCACCTCTACTTCCCAACCCTTTATGTTATGCTGGGCACTGCAGAATACAGACGGGTTGAAGATCAGGCTGCCAGCAATAAAGGCTGCTTCAACCACTGCAACCTCTCCCTTTCTGCACAGCAATCTCCCTGACGCCGTGTCCAGAGCTCTCGACAACATTGGCAGAGTTTATGCCAGGACTGGCAAATTCCAGCAAGCCATCGACACGTACGTAAATCAGAGGAAGGCGTAAGGTGGGGTTTCAGTTAAATACTGTGCTTTCAGTTTGTTCTGCTAGCAAGACAGCTGTGAATGTCTTCATACCAACAACTGGAGCCCTTTGTTTATAGATTCTGTGACTGGAATGATAGCTGCACTAAAATCTGTCTTTCTTACTCTCTGCTTGAAGCTGGGAGGAGAAAATCCCATTGGCAAAATCCAGCCTGGAGAAGACGTGGCTGTTCCACGAGGTTGGCCGCTGCTACCTTGAGCTCGGGAGGGCAGAAGAAGCTCAGAACTACGGAGAGAAATCCCTGCAGTCAGCGCTGGAGGCGGGGGATGCGGAGTGGCAGCTCCACGCCAGTGTGCTGCTGGCGCAGGCTCAAGGTATGGATGTCAGGGTGTGGAAGCTGCCGGCCTGTTGGGCACCGGAGTGAAAACTCCACAGCCTTCAGGCTCGGGTCTCTGGCAGGAGCCCTGCTTGTTCTCTGCTGTTCTCTTTATCTTGGGTTCCAATCGATGTTTTCATTTGTTTGATACAGAAAAATTGAAGGATTACCGGTCTGCAATTACGAACTTTGAAAAAGCCCTTGAGAAGGCAAAGCTGGTGCACAGCGACGCTGCCCAGCAGGCCATCATTGCTGTAAGTGGGGCAGAGCTGTAAGGAGGCTGTCCTGCAAACGGGTGCAGATGAGCACAGACCTGTTGGGTGTTCAGAGCCGAAGCAGCGCCTGTTCTGCCAGAGGGAAACAGCAGTGAGTGAGAGACGAAACCTTCAGGGGAGGAGGCATCTGGTGCAGGTGCTGATAGCTGGAGTCGGTGCAGAGTGTGAAGGCAGGGAGGGAGCAAGCAGGGACAGCAGAGCTCAAGGGAAAACGGGAGCAATTTGCACGCTGTGTGCAGGGCCTTTACTGAGAAGCCACATCACTTTTCAGGCTTTGGATGACGTGAGCAGAAGCTTCATCGAAGATCTGAAAGAAAGAGAAAGAGAAACGGAGGCTCACACTCTCCCAGGTAATTGTGTCAAATTCTGCACCGTGTAACGTGAGAATTCCCCGCTTTCCTTTCCGGGGAAGGGAACGGAGCCGTGCGGGAGGTGGCAGCAGCGCCCCGCGCTGACAGGGCTCCGAACACAGCGCAACTGTGAGACAGAAGGCAGCGCTGATGGGGGGAAAAGGGGAAAAGCCTTTCTCCTCGTGCCCCACTGGTTGCTCAGTGCTCGAACTCACTCTTAGATTTCACTCCTCTCCCCCCCCCAGATCACGATTTCAGCGGTGAAAATGCAGAAGACGACAAGTCTGAGGGACGGGAAAGTGAGCAAAGCTCGGAGAACCAAAGGGGTGAAAAAGAAGATACCGAGAGCAAAAAGGAACAAGGAAGCGAGAGAGAAGAGCTCGATGAACAAGATGAAAAAGAGAAGGAGAGTGAAGAAGACAGGAGCAAAAGAGAGGGGGAGGAGAGCAAAAGAAAGGAAGAGGGGAGCGAAAAAGAGGAAGAAGAAATAGGAGACGACGAAAAAAAGCAGTTCGATTTCCTGAGCGGTTAGAATAAAGCCGGGCAGCGGCTCTGCTCTCACACACGAGCCACAGCTCCGCCGCACCCCGGGGCGCAAGCAGCGAGCCCCGCGCCGGGCACCAGCGGCACCGCCCGCCCCGGGCAGGCGCGGCCACGGGCGGTCCGGGCGAGGGGGGCGAGGGGGGGCGATGCTATGAAAGGGGCCGCGGTGCCGCCCGCCCCAGAGCCGCTCTCCCGCTCCGCACCGGCGGCCGCCCCGGAGCCGCTGCCCTCACCATGGTAAGTGCGGGACGGGCGCGGGGCGGCGGGGGGCTCTGAGCCGCGCTGCCCCTTCGCCGCCCGCTCCCCTCTCGGGGCTCCGTCGGAGCGCTGCGGGGAACGGAGCGGCCGCGGGGACGGCGGGGCGTCGTGAACGGAGCGCCGCTCAATCGCGGATTGTTCGCCCGCGGAGCCCCGCGCCGCTCTGTGCCGCCTTTGTCCCGGCGCGGCTCCGCGGCATAAAGGAGCGCTTTATCCCGGCGTTGGCTGCCGAACAATGGGGCCCGGGGGTGTTTTCTATTATTGTTCTTTTGTTTGCGCGTTTGAAAAGCGGCTCAGTGCCGCCCGCCCGCAGCTGCCGCCCGCAGAACGGCGGCCCCGGGCACCGCCGAGCCCCGCACCCACGGCCCGAGCGGGACGGGGCGGTGCGGGAGCGGCAGAACCGGAGAGGAGTCGCAGCTCCGCTTCTCGAGGGGCGATGGGAGCCCCAACCCCACCGGGGGCGGCGGACGGGGGCCGGGGGAGTCGCGCCGTTCCGCTCGGAGCGGAGCCCCTCCTGAGCCGCGCTTTGCTGACGGCTCCGCGCACCCCGCACAGCGGCCGCCCCGGGGCAGGCGGTGCTCCGCGCCCGGTGGGGAACCGCTCCGCACCTCCCGACCCTGAAGCAAAGGATGGAGGAGTCACTGCTGGGCGCCGCACGCGGCCGCTTTCACTTTCGTGTTCGGCGGCGGCAGCGCGGCCGCTTTTGCCGGAAGCGGTTCGTGCCGCTCCGCGCTGGCAGCAGCCCGGAGGGGCGCTGAGGGCGCGGCGCCGTCCGTTCGAACCCGAACCCGGAGCGGCCGTTCCCGGAGCCCCGAGCGGCGCGGGTTCTGCCGCGACAGCCGCCGTCAGTGAGTCTCGATTCGGTCCTGCAGGCGGAGCTGCGCCGTTTCGCACCTCGGGCTCAGAGCGGCTCCTCGGGCCGCGGCCGCTCCGCGCTGCGGCGGTGACGTTTCCCGTTCCCTCCGTGCCGGGCGGGGGGCGGTGCGGGGCGCGTCGGGGCCGCTGCGATCCGGGTTCCCCCCGTCCACCCCCCCCCACCCCCCGAGGGCACAGCAGCGGCTTGCAGAGCCTACAAAGCGGCGTTTTCTTCTCGAATTTCAGAACAGAGGTTTCTCCAAGAAGAGCCACCCGTTCCTGCCGAAAATATTTCGAAAGATGTCCGCTCAGTCGGCCAAAGAAAGGCCCGAGAGCCTGCGGTTCCCTTTCCTCGATGACGAAGATACCATCGCCACGCTCAAAGAGTCCAGAACCTTCTTCATCCTGCGAGGCCTCCCCGGCAGTGGGAAATCCACGCTGGCCCAGGCGATCCAGGAGCGCTACAAGGACGGCTGCAAAGTCGTCGCCGCTGAGAGCTACAAAATCACACCTGCCATAAGAAGCGCCGTGCCTGAAGAATACGCCAAAGTCGATGAGGAATTAGTTGAGTATTGCAAACGAGACATCAGCGTTATCGTTTTGGACGACACTCACCACGAAAGGGAACGACTGGACCAAATCTTTGACATTGCTGACAAATACCGCTACAAAGTCATCTTTGCGGAGCCCAAAACCCAGTGGAGGATGGATTGCTCGCAGCTTAAGGATAAGAATCAGTGGAAACTGACGGTGGAAGACCTGAAGAAGATGAAGCCCAGTTTGGAGAAGGAGTTCCTCCCCATGTATTTCGGGTGGTTTTTGAGCAAAAGAAGCTCTGAGATCCTGAGGAAGGCCGGCCAGGTGTTCTTAGATGAGCTGGGAAGCCTCAAAGCCTTCAAAAAGGAGAGCAAATTCTGTATGTATAGAAATAACTTACCTGCTTCTTACTGCTGGTGCAACCTTAACTTGGTGCAGCAACCTGAACAGATTTGGTCAGCTTATAAAGTGATGCTTTTAGTGAAGGTCGGCAACAGGAACCGTTCAGGGATCCCCAGCCCTGTTTTTTGAAGTTGTTTTTGTACCTGAAAATGAACGAAAGTTTCCTTGAGGGTCCATTCAGCTGTGAGGCTGCTGGGGGGGGG